TAAGAAAATAGGTTTCGCCCGTCAGATCCGTTAGTCGATCCGTTTCCCGGAATCCCATAGGATTTTGTCGGATAGTCGGATCCGATCAGATCCGATTGGATCCGGTATCGGATTCATTCACCTGGGTGGTATGAAATAAAATGAGCTTGCGATCTGGCAATGATTGGGAGAGTAACGTATTCAAATATGTTAACAGGATTACAGGGTCGACTATCTCACTAGTGTAAACTATATCTGAGGTTTTTCCACAGTGTGGATATGAGGTATAGGTGTGAGGTAGAACAAGATCAAGCCGCTCGGGCACATACTTTCAGCGACAACGACACCCACACCATAAATATTCCTAATATCTAAATTCAAGTTTAAGTCAATGCAACATGATTGGCATTTTGAGGGTGGATCTGGGTGTGGGTGTGGGCGTACGACTGTCTTCAACATCACTCATAGCCCCCCCCCCCCTCCCCCATACCCACACTCACCCACACCGACATCCACCCATCTTACCCTTCAAGGTATAGAATCACTAGTAAATGTGTGAACTGGATCGTCTCTCTGACTCCTTATGAGAATAAGAGTGAGAGCTCGAAAATTATATACGAGATTTCGTGACTACAGAGTATGATGAGCACATGTAGTTACACAGGATTAGTTACTCCTAGCTTTGCCCTATGATTTGAACTGAAGTGGATAAATACGTCACTCTACACTTGCACCAAACTATCTTCAACTCACAACTGTTACGCGACATATTCTACAGTCATATATAAAATGTTAGTGTTTTATGTAGATTTTGTGTCTCTAAGTATGCATAGCTACTTCCAATATTTCTACTACTCCAGATTGAAAATATGAGTGGTCACATCTTTCAAGGAAACTTCCAGCATCGGCCTGTTCGAACCATCGGGTTGCAAAACCCAATCTTGAACCTGAACAGATCAATATTCACAGTTTGTCCCACGGATCCACATTTTCCCGATCTCAATATACATACTGTTCATATTTCGTGTCAATCGGATAACTTCGATCCTTCGACGAATCTAATTGGCATGATCGTTTACGGCTATAATGGTGCAGATGATTTCTATATAAATGGTAGACACTGCACAGCAGGCTATATTCTAATAAAAAGAAGCGATACGATCAATCACATTCAAGCAGATACAATGCATAAAAAGCTTTTCAAATGGCTCTTTGGCCAGGACTTAGTTCCTGAATTTATCGGCGGTGGGTTTGCTTATCAAAATGGTCAATGGAAACATAACTCATTCACCTTTAATACGAAGCAAGATTTATACCATGATAATAGAAAAGGAATGCATATTACCGAGGAACAATTGCTCGGCGGCGCTTTGTCACGACTTTACATCAATCATAAGTGGGAACGAAATCCAAATCTCTCCGTGAGAGAAATTTTTTCATCGGATGATGGATGGCAATTATTTAAACAATCTGCTGCTATTACTCCGAGTATGTGTAAGACATTTCTGCTACTCACAACTTTTCAAATTAGGGGGCTTTTAATAAACGTAGTGTTAGTCTTAATATCTCCTTTGCTCTCTTATTTATTTCATACTTTTCTTACAGATCGTATTGACAATGTCAATAGATATGGTCGTGTAGCAACTATAGGTTCATCCGGCAAATACTATTGCGGTGGCTATCTTGATTACATGCGTTGTCGATGTTGCAATGGTCGATGCGGCCCAAATAATGGGTGTAATTGTTCTGCTTGTATGGAACTTGATATTGAAAAACGCAGACTACCAAAGGGTACATTGGTCAATCGCGATGGTGCACTGGCCAGTCGAAGCCAAAAAGATCGAAAAACATTCTATTGTGGCCGTTGTATATTGCAACGAACGATTGATTGCAATGGATACTGTGGACCCCAGGATGGACCTCAGTGCTATGCTTGTCAAGCGCTAAATGAACAAATGCCACGTTATATGGCATTATTACAGTAAGCGCCATAGGTGGACCCGATTGAAAAAAACGAGGAAGACAAAGGAATTATTTTATTATATTTTATTTATCAAATCTATGTTATATGTACATCATCTTAATAATTAACGTAATCACCTTTTCTTTCAATTAACTATGCTACTCTATTTTCCATAGAACCGCCTAATTTTTCAGCAATTTCAATAGGTAACTTCCTCCATTCTTTTTTTATTCTTCTAGTGAAATTATTGATCGATATATGCTGTTGTTTATTTATTCTGAGCTCCATTAATGCCCAGAGATTTTCATTTAGGTTAGAGTCTCTGTGTTCTATATCCCACTGGAGTCTTTTTTAAAATAATGTCACTTGCTAGCAACGGTTTCGAAGATAATTTCATTGAATGCACATCAGCCTCTTCGAATCTTCTTCTTAATATGATTTCACTAAATTTTATACCTTTCTTTGATAACCTAGACGCAATTTAACTGACAGATTCAGTTGAATGCTGAACTACCATCGATCGAATTGTTGCATCTTGCTTTTCCGTTATAGACAGGATTTTTGTGTAACTGCTACGCCACCAGCTATTTTATACCTTTCAAGCCCATATTTCACAGTCGATTCACTGATTCGTAAATATCGTGAAATATCAGCATTTGACATGTGTGGGACACAGTTCAGGTGTGGGTGTGGGTGTGTGTGGATGTGGGTGTGGCTGTGGCTTGAGGTGGGTGTGGCTGTGGCTTGAGGTG